TTGCAATTTTGTCCTTCTTATGCCCTTCATAGAATGGTGGAGGGTATAAAATATGGCCAAAATGTAAAAAATAATTGAAATCTGAGTAAACACTTATTTGGGGGAGATACCAAAATGTGGACCGACTTGACCCATAATTTGTACAAACAATTCTTCATCTAATCCAGAGGACAGTATCAAATTTAAAAGCCCTATATTTAATTTAGGGAAATATGTAGAAAAATATTTGGAGCCATTATTGTTTGGTTAAGGCTACATATAATGGGGGCACAAAATTTAGCCTGGGAACACAAAACCGTTTTTGAAACCAGAACCAAATACTATTACATACACTTGAAATTTCAGTGTCATAACTTTCTTTAAGTAAGAAATCCCAATATTTTTGCTTGCATTGGAGGAAGTCTGAAAATGGAATATATCTTTCACTCTTACAGATATTGAAATGGGAATATATCCGTCCACATTGAACCGCCCATATAATTTTAGGTGTTTTTGAGGATTCTACCCTAATGTCCAAACAAATCCACTCTTATTTGACGTATCGTATTTTCTCCTGGGTTGATTTACTTACCGCAGATAAACATTAACGTCAGTCCACTTTTAGGTATAGCCCCCATATTATGTTTGTTTTACTTTTCGGAATTTTGGAGTTTTCTGGTCCAAGATTTTAAAGAACTCAGGTGTCATTTGACGCATTGGATTATATCCCTTCCAAGAAAGGTGTAGATATTTTTTTTTCGAATGATTTGCTAGTTGTTTGATATTTTGATTCTCAATGGCTACCTTAACCCTTCTTCAAAAATATGCTATGTAAGTAAGGCTCTATATAATGGAACTTTCAAAGTTTGCTGATTTTTAGAAAAGTCTATGTGCCTATAAGTAAAATTTCCTCATCGGGAGGGCATAAAATGTACGTACCAGCCGAAGTTTACTTCGTTTTCATTAGCTTCTTCTTCAATCTTTTCACCATACTGAATTAGGAAAATCTTTCACTCAAAAATGAGAAAAAGAAAAAACCGTTTTGCTGGAAACCTAAATAAGAAATTAAAAAGTTTATTAGATTTTATTTTCCCAAAAGAACAAAATTGCGGAAAAAGGGATATTATGGTCCATAATAAAATAAATTCCATTAGAAATTAATGGAATTTTCATTTCAGCTATTCTTTGGATGGATGTTTTATAGAAAAAGGTAGTTACTCAACTATTTGCAACCTGCTGGGCTGGGTTGTTGCCAATAGCTTAAATACTTGAAATATAAATGTTTAATTTTTGCCAAATTGAGTTTTTCTTGAAATTTACAATTGAATTGAATTTCCTAAAAGCAACAATAAAATGAAGAATTCATGCTGTGAAATTGAAGTAAATAAATAAATGGAAAGTTTTTGATTTTCTTCCAAACTAGGCATCAAAAGGGTCAAGTGCAAATAATCCTTTGTGGGCAAAAGTCAAAACCTTGTTCATTGCTCGAAACTACAAAAACAAACATTGTGTTAAAGTTTATCACATAATCGGACAAATTACTGCTGCCTAAAAGTATTGCAAAAAATTGCTATCAAAGTGAATTTGTTGTTGTTGTTGTCGTCGTCGTGTTATTGTATTTCAGCTTAATTCCATTTTGTACTGGCACTGGCACGTGTAAAATGGCTTGCTTTCTTTTTTGCGTCTCCCTTTCAATGCAAATGACAAAAGGAAATTGAAAGAAAAACGAAATCCTTTTTAGAATAATACCTAACAAAATTGAATTAAATGAACAAAAGAGGAGAAGGAAAGAGCAACGATTTATCCGTTACATTTATATTACAATAATCATTAAAGGTGAACTAAAGAAAGTGTTTCCCTGCACTTAGGAAAATGAGAAAACTTATGACAATAGTTAATATAAACAAAGTTCCAAGGTTCGGAGGGAAAGGCGTAGGCAAGGAAAGATTTAGTAAGGTTCACTACTAGTTCAAAATTAAAGGATAATCAAACTAAAATTTAAATAATAAAAAGGCGTATAAGATATATATTGTTATTCAACGGGTGAGATAAAAAAACTGCAACCAACTTCAGATTGCTGTCATTTCTAGGCCACTCGTTCGACAGCTGTTAAAACTATTCCAGTGACAGCCCATTATATTGTTTAAATGCGTACAACAACATTTTGGTGAGAATTTTCCAGAAAAAAAAAATTTATTCGTGGTGGAATTCAAGCGTGATAGTGTGATTTCTTCATATTTGGCTGGAAAACCACAAGTGGCTATCGTTAGAGCACTCCAGCTTTTAAATGTGAATAAATCTTTTGTGTCTCGTACCATCGCTCGTTACCGTGATACTGGTAGGGAAGCCCGACTCAAAAAAAATCAAAATCAGCTGAAATGGTTCGAAAAGTAAAGAAGCGACTTGATCGAAACCCGCGTCGCAGTTGCCGAAAAATGGCTCGTGAGTTGAACATATCGCAATATATAGCCATTGAAATTCCAAAAAGTGCAAGAAATTACATCGCAATAGAAAGAAAATAGACTCAAGAGAGCTAAAGAGTTGCTTCGCTTGGCCGAAAGTAGTGAACTGCCGAATTTGGTTTTCTCCGATGAGAAAACTTTTGTTGTCCAGCAGTTTGTAAACCAACAAAATGATCGTGTACTTGCCAAAGAGGTCAGCTGGAAATTTGCACCATCGGTTGGCCACCAGAACTCAAGCGCCGGTCATAGTGATGGTGTGGGCCGCCATAACTGCCGACGGTCGCTCTCCGCTCGTATTTTTCGATCGTGGCATCAGAATAAATGCCGAATATTATCGCGAAAATATTCTGGAGGGTGTACTAAAGCCTTGGGCACGCAAACATTTTGGCCGCAGACCTTGGACATTCCAACAGTACACAGCACCATCGCACTCAGCACGCTTCACCCAAGAATGGTTACAAAATGAGGTTCCTCGCTTTATTTCCAGCGCACAATGGCCACCAAAATCTTCGGATACCAATCCGTTGGACTATTGTGTCTAGAGTATTTTGGAAAGCAATGTTGGCACTAAAAATACCAAAGTGTCGATCACCTCAAGCAAGCGCTTCGCCGGGAATGGGTCAAAATACCGCAGAGCAACATTCGGGCAGCATGTGATGGTTTTGTTGGCCGTTTGAAGGCCATAATTCGTGCCAAAGGTGACCAATTCGAACAAATCTTAACTTATCCTAAAATTTGATGCTATTTCCGACTGTTCTAGCTTTCATTCAATAACATTTAAAAAAAATGTAAAAATGATGGAGTTTGACTTTGTTGCAGATTTTTGTACTCCAAATATGATTTAAAAGTCAAGAAAAGTGTGATCTCTTTCTATTTAAAGTTAAAAATACAAATCCAAATGAAAAACGCACAACCTTAAATACATCCTGAACATTGAAAAAATATCACAAGTAGAAGCCTATTTAATAATCCTCTTCCACAGGATTTCATTAAAATTTAAAAATCTATATTAAAAGCAAAGAAATTGAATATTAAAAAAAAAATGAAACTTTTTTAATACAATATTCCCCTACTCCAACTTTTTGGTAAAACAAATTAAGTGGAGAAGAAAAATCACTTGTCTTTCACTTGAACCTCATTTTTGTTTTTGTTCCTTTTGCTACCAAGAAGTAATATCATTCGCACTCACCTGGTGGTTGTTATGACACAAAGCAAACACTTAAGGAAGTCAAAATGTTCAATGGCAAAATTCTATGTCAAATATTTATCACCCTCCATTTGGCCAAAGAAAAAAAAAACACACAATCTCCGCAAAGAGTTCTCATAGAGCTTAGCATCTTTGCTTCGTGCTTTCCGCAACGGAAACTTTCCTCTTCAACGAAACGTTATTGAATTATAATCGTATTTTTTCGATATTTTTTTCACACAATAAAAATAGAATGGACAACTTTAAAGTCAATGGAAGGTGAATAAAAATAAGTACAGGTGGTCATAAATAAAATCATGTTAAATATAGAAAATTACATAAATAGATGATGAATGAATGATGAAGTTCCCAGTTTCCAAATGGGGGAGAGGTTGCTAGTGTTTTTGCGTGGAAGGAAATGCCTGTGCTAAGTGTTTAAGGAATTGTTGTACCTCAGTGAAGCCAGTAATTAAATTATGTATGTAAGGGCCTTTAAAAAAATTCTAAATATAATTAATAAAAAAAATTAAGTGACAAGCAGCTGCTTTCCTGTATGGCCCTTCAAAATATTTATAAAAATAATAACAGATGTACAAAGTGCTAAACTTGATTATTTCCATGAAATTTGACTCATATTTTTGATGATATTTTTAATATCTGTCTTGACTTAAAACAATTTCTTGAATACACAGTGAGATGAAAAAAATGCAACCAACCAACTTTTATAGTGTCGTATATATGGGTCAAAAGATATGTAACACCTCGAAATATTGGTCAAAGGTATAGGAAGTTATATGGGGATCTTCCTATCTCGCCGAGTTTATCTAGCTATGTGTGTCCGTCAGTCTGTCCATGTTAATTTGTAATCATGCTACAGGTCGAAGTTATGGCCCGATCCTTACAAAATTGAAACTGGATGTGTGGTTAAGGTCAGAGTATAAGTCTATTGTTTTTGCGGATGATCGCAAAATATTTAGGGGTTGAAGTGGATCAAAAACTTAAAATTTTCCTGAATTTGCTGTTGCTCTATAGGCCACAATTATTAACCAATCGACGAGGAAACTTGCATGGAGTTAGAGTTCAGGGCTGGGGACAAGCTAACCAATGTGGATGGTAATCGAACAATATTTAGCGGGTAAAATAGAATAGAAGTCTATTGCTTTGGGAGATGGTCGCAAAGTATTTAGGGGTTGAAATGGACCAAAAACATTCTATTGGAAGTATCGAAAATGTGCCAATCACTGATATTTTTTGAGCAATTCACTACCACTAAGAAGATCTACACAGGATTAATGCCATTCTTTTTTTTTTTAATCCAAGATATCTTTACTTACAATTTTTTTAATAGATTTTCAATTTTTAATATTTTACAGAGTGATGTATTCGATGAAATCGACTTATCCGATTTGTGTACGGCCGAATGCAGTATTAAAAACGTAAATCATAGTTTCCAGGTGAGTGAAGAAATTGTTAATTTTTCTTTAATTTTAAATAATCATCAGCTCTTTTATGTGATTGGCAATAATCCTTCGGGAGCAAAAATATATCACAGTAACTTCATTTTAAGATTGACTTAATTATAAAGCATAAAAATGACGTCACTATAATGTCATGTATAAGTGTAAGATGTATGATTTCTAAAATATAATTCTCAAAAATATTCTGTATTTTTAGACATAGAATTTATTTCAGTTTAGCACAGATTAGGATAATTTCTATCTATTGCCATTATTTCATAATTACCTTACGACCCATTACACAAACTCATAATAGACTCTCTCGCCCTCGCTATCACAAAAGCTGTAAAATGTAAAAATCTAATTCCCAATTAATTGAACGTAATTATAATCCTTAACCTTAGACAACACAGCTTAGAGCCAACATTGCAAAACTAAACAAATTTACCAGAGCAAATTTTACGAGCCGTTTAACCTTCACCTTAACCAGCTCTAGCTCTGCCATAAATTTTAATCCCCCCATTATCGAATTTATCTCTATAGCATTTTAATAAGTTATTCTGGTTGTTGTTGTTGCTGCTGAACTACAAAATGTAGGTCTTATCAAAATCTATCGCCAAAAATTGCCACAACTTTAAGTTTGAGGAAATTTGCAAAGGTTAGGGTTTAGTGTCAAATAAACGCCAACCAGCCAGCCCTTCAGCCAACCAAGCAAAGTAATGTTCATTTTTACGTTATTATCCACCAACTTTAGAATGCCACTTGATCTGCCATCAAATGTTGTTATGGCTGTGTGTGTGTGTGTAAGTGTTGGCTCTAATCATATTATTCGTTACCCTTACAACCAAGACAACTGAAATATTTTACGCTAGAGATCCTTGATTGCCATCCTTGAAGTAGGTGTTCTGCTTTGCTCTCTCTTTCACACACACACACAAAGACACAGCCACACAAAAAGGCCAAATAAGCAATCTACCATAACAAATGGGGTTATGAATTGGGATACATAATGACAGCAGCATTGCCATTGAAATGGCCTTAAAAGTAAACTCAAACAACAAAAACAACAATACCATTAAAGCGACCATAACAAAATACGGAAATGCTCATATTTATTGGAGATTGTAATTTTTATAGTTGGTAATGTGTTCTTGCTTCGCCAGGGGTTTTCATATTTTTTATTGGCAATACGAATTACTTCGGATCGTTGAGTATTTCATTTATGCGTGTTAGTTTGAGTTGTGTATGTTTGTATGTTCTTGAGTGTGGTTAACCAAATAAACAAGTAATTATGAGTGGCATAATAAAATATATTTTTACAGCATGACCAACTGAAAAATTGGAAATCTATGTTGAAATGGGAATATACAGGGTGAGATGAAAAAACTGCAACCACTTTCAGACTGCTGTCATTTCTAAGCCACTCGTCCGACAGCTGTTAAAATTATTCCAGTGACTGCTCATTATATTTTTTACAAGCGTGCCAAAGCATTTTGGTGAGAATTTTCCAGAAAATAAGTTGTTCGTGATAGAATTCATGCGTGATAGTGTGATCTCTTTATATTTGGCTGGAAAACCACAAGTGGCTATCGTTAAGCCCCTCCAGCCTTTAAATGTCAATAAATCTACTGTGTCTCGTACCATCGCTCGTTACCGTGATACTGGTAGCGTAGCCCGAGGAAGTGGACGGAATAAAGCAGCAACACCAGCAGAAATGGTTCGGAAAGTAAAGAAGCGACCGAAAAATGGCTCGTGAGCTAAACATATCGCAAAATTTCATTCGACAAATATTGAAAAATGAGCTGGGGTTACAGCCATTTAAATTCCACAAAAATTCAGGAACTTACACCCCAACAGAAGGAAAATAGACTTAAAAGAGCTAAAGAGTTGCTTCGCTTGGCCGAAAGTGGTGAACTGCCGAATTTGGTTTTCTCCGATGAGAAAACATTAGTTTCGTCCAGCAGTTTGTAAACAAACAAAATGATAGGGTTTACTTGCTAAAAATGGTTACAAAGTGAGGTTCCTTGCTTCATTTCCAGCGCACAGTGGCCACCAAAATCTCCGGATACCAATCCATTGGACTATTGTGTCTGGAGCATTTTGGAAAGCCAGGTTGGCACTAAAAAATACCAAAGTGTCGATGACCTCAAGCAAGCGCTTCGCCGAGAATGGGCCAAAATACCGCAGAGCAATATTCGGGCAGCGTATGACAGTTTCATTGGCCGTTTGAATAATTCGATGCTAAAGCTGACCAATTCGAACAAATCTAAACTTATTCTAAAGTTGGATGTTTTTTCCGACAATTATGGTCCCTGACTTTGCTGCAGATTTTTTATCTCACCCTGTATAAAAATGCTGAAAAGGGAAATTATTAAAATGGAAACAATTCCCAAATGACAATTTTTGAAAAAAAAAAATTAATTTCTTGGATATAGGAACTTAAAACATCATCTAAAAATGTGGCTTTGTATGTGTGTAGTTCATCATAATACCCAAACTGTAAACCACAATTAATCCTCATACATACACACTTATAGCAACAACAAAATGTAAACAAATTTCCCATCAACTTCGTCCTCTATAGCCTATTCCATCTTATTGTCCCTCCTTTTTGATTTTTGCTGCCTTAATTTCGTGCTTCAGCTAAAATGAATTCGTGTGTAACAAAAACCCCTGGTAACAACAATGTGAGAAAATGATGCTCCTCCTTTGCCACACTACCTTTGCCAGGAGAACAAAAACACAACACAGCCAGCAGAATATCTGGTAATAAAACAACTTATTAAAATTCCTCTCTATTCTACGTTAATACACTCTGAAATTGCGTTATAATATTCCATTGAACATTTAGCCAATGAGTGTTTTGCTGCCGATATGCGGCCGTACAGATATGGTATCGTGGGATATGAAAATGCTGGTGGGGTGGCTGATGGGAAAACATAATTTGTTTAATGGAATTTCAGCTAAATTGAAAACAAAAAACTTTTTTTTGCTGATGATTTCTTTTTTTTTTCTGTGCTGATGGTATAGCAACACAAGCGCATAAGCACTTAAAGTTAATATTCCAAAAAATATGTAATAAAGCCTGAAAAGCTCCCATAGGTAGCAGAAAACATATTCGAAAATGTTTCATCATTGGCTTCTGGTATCTAAAGCGAACAGTGAGCCAACGAATATACAGGACATGCATTAATTTACGTGGCAAGCACATAGATTTATACAGATTTGAATAATAAGTCTACTTGATATTTGATCTCGGGTTCATCGAGGTTTTCTCTCTCTCTTACGTTGTTAGCTAGACTTTGTTGTTTAGGTTTTCCAGGAATCCTTACGTATGCAATTATATTACGTTCCCTCGCTGTGTCGCTATGTCATAGAATATGGAAAATTAAGGTAAACACGTCAAGACAATGAATCAGAATTTTTCTATTTCATATGAATGACAGTCAAACATACGTATTTCGTCTAAGACGGACGTGGAGAAGCACTTCTCCGAAGCCAGCATTCTGAGAAATTGAGGTCAATGGAATTTTTGTTGTCACTCGGTATACCGCTGGCTGAATAGCACAGGACTTGTAAAGAATAGCAGAAAATAGGTTGGTTGTGGGCGCAAAAGAAGGAATATATGAATATCAAAAAATATCGATAGAAGTTTCGAATAAAATAATATATATTTCTGCGAGTCCCTTACTCTTGTATTTCCAAAACCGAAAAACTTTGAAAGATGAAAAGATTTCATCTTACCCAAGTATCGGATAGATGACATATCGAAGATAACATAAGTCCATAATTGAGTACTATTTAACTGTCCTAGGTAAATGTCCGAAAGGGTCAACACTGTCAGAGCAGATTGACTGCGCCACATACTGTAAATAAACGAATATGCACCTTCCCGAATAAAAGGAGGGAGTCACTGTTCACCAGACTTAATCATAGTCACCAGGTCTGATAAATTACGTGGATCGGAAAGCTGTTTTGGTTCAGTCCATCTTTCTTCTATAACCAAATCGCCAAGTTTCAAAACCTCTGAACGTCTCACTTTTCTTAACCACAGGGAAACTCACTGGCCAGAATTCAGTCATTTCACCAACCTTCGCCTCAGAAAATTGCCGAACCCTTCTGAAAGGATTTCCCGATACATCATCAAAGCTACAGCCTCTCTTTCTAACTCTCTGATGTCCTACTGATGCCAGATTCAGTAAATTGATAAGTCAACCGGTTGCATAGGAGCATAAGAGGAAAAAGTGGCTAAATCATCTGAAGTGCTGCAACATTGTAACCGATATGAGTAAGCTATGGGTAATGGTTAAATCGGTCTCGAAACCTGTTAAAAAAGAAGGAGACTGATCCGACGTGTTTCGCTGGATAAATTGTCGAGCACCCCGAGAACGATAGGACGAAGCGAAGAGTACTACGTCGTCTCAGATATCTCGCCGAGGAGCCTTCACCACAGTTTACGATGGGTGATGTTGCTAATGTCATGCGAAACGCAAAGTCATCCAAAGCGTTGGGCCCAGACGAAATCTCAATGGTAATATTGAAACAACTGAATATGCCGGGACTTGAGTACCGGAAAAAAGTTCTCAATTTTTGATAGTCACCCAACTCATACCCGAAGCCTATAAAATGAATAAAATGCTACTGAAGCCGGGTAAGGATGCCAAACATTTTCGCTTTTATCGCCAGTAGAAAAACTTCTTGAGTCTTTACTCCTCTGCAGCATCAAAGGAAGCTATTGAGTTGCCAACCATCAACACGGATTTCGTGCAAACAATAGTTCCACAACAGCTTTTGCGCGCCATATCCACACATATCAGTCGAGAATTAAACCAGAATAAGACGTGTTGGTTGCCCTTTACCGTTCAAGGGCTTTTAATAGAGTCAACCACACTGGTTGAATATGTAGAGACTAACCTCAGGCCAAATTTGAAAACTTGGAAAATCAACTATGTGTGTGAATGCCAGTCGTACGTTAAGTCCGGAACATGAAGTCCAAA